ATATATATATATATATATATATATAAATATATATATATATATAATCCCTACTATATATAATGCGCTAAGTCTGTCTGTCTGTCTGTCTGTCTGTCTGTCACGAAATTCCGTATTAAGCGGACAACAACCTACTGGGTCCAGGTCATGTTTGGGATGGGTGTACCATATCTCGAGAAGTAAAAAACATACATTACCTAAGCGGAGCCCCGCCCACAGTGGGCGTGGCGTGCGTCGAAATGAGTGGTACTGAGGACCATGATTTCAAATTCAGTCACAAAACAGCCTCGAGACCGGGACAAAAGTGGGCATAGGTGTGGGTTGGTAAGCCAGATTGAACTGAGGAGACCCACCCTCGGTGGGCGGGGCGTTCTCTAGAAAATGGGTGCTCAGTGAAAATATTCATAACTCGGTTAAGAGGAAGCCTACAGACCAGAAACGAAATTAGTGCAGGGGAGCAATGCCTAAGGTATTTCCACCACGCATGATGTGAACGGAGGCCCGCCCACAATGGGCGGAGCGTGTCGTGAAGCGGACAGCATTTTCTACAAGAGCTCATAAATCGGCTCCGAGATGACTTAGAGACCGGAAAACAACGGATAGAGGTCAGGAGGGGAGGGGAAGCTAAATGTCAGGGATGGGCGTGGCTTACATCAAAGTGGGCGGAGTTTGCAATTAGGCTTATAACTCGGTTCCTAGGAGTCCCGGAGTCCGGGAAAAAAGCGTATGAGGGTTGGCAGAGGGAAAGGGGTCAACCGTTGTTGGCGGGCGGAGCATGCACCAAAGTGGGCGGGGTTTGCCACGGTACTTCATAACTCGGTTCCAATAAGTTCCAGAGATGGGAGAAAAGTAGAAAAAGGTTGGGGAAGAGATGATAGCCGACTGATATCAGTGGGCGACCCACGCACCAAAGTGGGCGGGGTTTGCCACAAAGATACGTAGCTCGATTTCGTCCCCTACAAGACCTCATAATTCGGCTCCGAGATGACTTAGAGACCTGAAAAAAATACGCCAGAGGTGAAAGTAGGAGTAGAGGTTGAATGTGAACGCTGGGCGTGGCACACCCGGATGTGGGCGGAGTTTGCCACCGCTCTCATAACTCGGTTCCTAGAAGTTCCGGCGACCGGGGAAAATGTGCATAAGTATTGAGGTATGGAGTAGGGTTGAATGCCATTGTTGGGCTAACCATGCACCAAAGTGGGCGGGGTCTGCCTCAGAAATTCGTGACTCATAACGCCATTTACAAGACCTCATAATTCGGCTCCGAGATGACTTAGAGACCTGAAAAAAATACGCCAGAGGTGAAAGTAGGAGTAGAGGTTGAATGTGAACGCTGGGCGTGGCACACCCGGATGTGGGCGGAGTTTGCCACCGCTCTCATAACTCGGTTCCTAGAAGTTCCGGCGACCGGGGAAAATGTGCATAAGTATTGAGGTATGGAGTAGGGTTGACTGCCATTGTTGGGCTAAGCATGCACCAAAGTGGGCGGGGTCTGCCTCAGAAATTCGTGACTCATAACGCCATTTACAAGACCTCATAATTCGGCTCCGAGATGACTTAGAGACCTGAAAAAAAATACGCCAGAGGTGAAAGTAGGAGTAGAGGTTGAATGTGAACGCTGGGCGTGGCACACCCGGATGTGGGCGGAGTTTGCGGCGTAAGTAAGATGTACCGAGCAGAAAGCTAAAATCAAGACAAAAATACTGATGGGCCCGATTTTACCGCTGAGCCCCGTCTCATGCACGCGAATGCGTGCGCAGCCAAACTGGTAAATAAATAAATTAGAACTAAACAAAGAATAAGCATAATGGAAAACTTTAGTAACACAAATGACTACACTGAAACGCACTTCAAAGCATAACTTCGTATAGCATACATTATACGAAGTTATACGAGAACCCAGTGATATAGTTTACTGTAGAAGAAAAGGGAACAGTAATCGAGTTGTAACAAAAATTGCTTTTCTCTGTTTTTTTTTTGAAGGATTAGGGAAATAATTATGATTAGGGAAATTAGGAGAATTACTCATTGTTTACACTACCGCATTTTGAGCTGTTTTTTTTTCAAGAATAGAAAAAATATCTATGTAAAAAGTGCAGAAATTAATAGGATTCTCTATTCCTAGATACTTATCCACGGAGATTAACCATGTGTCAGTACTTGCTAATAAATGACTTATAGGATATTAATAATTGGGGTCTCATCCAGTAAGGGGGGCATGTGGTGTGACAGTTCTTGCCGGCTACAGAAATTCCAATTTTTGCAAGGGGAGGGAATCCCCGGGGTGCGTGAACCATTTCGCTTGAACTTTTACACCCACCCCGGAGCTTCCTCCCCTGAAAAAAGTGGATTACTTCATGCAATATGAACTGTCGCACACATGCCCCCTTACTGGATGAGACCCATTATTTAGGTATGAAACATGCGGCCACAAAATGCCGTACTTCCGCCCGTGGTTCGAGGATCTTCTCGGGGTCGGCTTGGACTTCATGAAACCAAGCCAAAGGATAGGCGACGTGGAAATCCCACCACCTATCATGAACGACCAACTTTGCGATGAACTCGTCCGTGCCAACATTTCATTCTCAAACGCGCCGTGGATCAGACTAATGCGTGGGCATGGGCACACGGTGAGCGACATTACAAGCTTTCCAGTCAACCAATTTTACACCCAGCATCGATTACGGTATACAACTCTAACGTATCTCCCCAAAACAGCGATTTAGTGTCCAAAGTGTCGTTTATGGTCTATTTGGGCACATTCACTCGACTTTTGTCGGAGCTTTGGGAGTCGAGCGTCGAGCAGTGAGCTTGGTGCCTCTTGCCGTTCCAGCAGAACGGACGGCCCAGTTGATGGTGGACATTCAGAAAATAGAACAGTGAAGCTAGGGATAAGATGAGACTACTAGAAGCGAGGCCTCATAAAAACGCAGTCAAAAAGAAGGCTGTGCTCGAGTAGAACTTTTCAATGATTAGTCCTCTCTAAAGCCTCACGATTATGACATTTCACTTCTCAAAAGAATACTTGGAATTAGTCAATAAATCGATATGCCTATTTATAGGTACACGACCTCTTTAAATTGCGTCACGGAAAATTTTCACGCCTACCGGATATTGTCGTATGGCCGCGAAGTGAAGAAGATGTAATGAAGGTTAGTCGACTGACTCATAAATGACGACCTTTCATGAAGTCACATGTCCACCAATTTGTCGTTTAATCTGAATAGAAAGGGAGCAGATCAGAAAGAAGCACTGTCATTTTCGAAGGGTCTGCGATCTCTTAAAAAAGGGTTCCCAGCTAAAAAAATGGATAGCGGTTTTGTCTGGCGACGAAAGTCCCTTAACCAATATGTATCGACAAATATAAATCAAGCTAATTACCACGGTAGAAAGTGCATGCGAAATGTAATGGTGCTAAAGAAAGAGATTTCTAATCTTGTTCAAGAAGAGCCGACACGGCTGTAGTGAAGAAAAAAACACTAGCGATGCGGAAGCGGGCGTGTGCTGATGACGTCACTGGGACGTCGCAGCGGCGGCGAGGGAAGTAGCATTCATAATGAACTCCCAAACATCACGAAGTTTTGGAAAAAGCGGATAAAACCTGGACAAAGTGGAGGGCCGGGTTTCTGCTCTCCACTCCGCCCACATGGGTGGACGCCCCGCCCACTCTGCTTCGCTCTCAGCAGGCGGGGCGCGCACCGGCGTGGGCGGTGTAAGGATCGAAAATTTCATAATGAGCATGATATTTTGGAGGTAGAAAAAAGGAAGAGGATAGAGGTTAATCAGGGAAGTGAGATC